AAAAAAAAAAACATTTTAAAACCAAATGGTGCTAAATTTATGTAGCCAAACTTAGCATTGATTGGTAGTATAATGATCACAAAATTTATCCACACTAAATTTGAGTAAAGATTCTCTAACTAACAATTTCTCCACTTATGCAGACAGAAAAAAAAGTTCTGCATGACAGTTTGGGGAACAAACTCAAAACAGACAGCAAAATCAATAAAATGAACAAAAAATGAGCTCTTCTGAACACTCCAACATACGTTTTGATCCTCTGTTCATATACATCATCAAGGAAAAGAATTATAAATACCATTAATGAGTAAACCAAACGCATTAGTACTCTACATTACAATTTATGGGAGAAAAAAAAAGCCCTAATAATCACAAAATATCACACCTGATCCCAACGTTATGGGAGAATTGGGGTTTGTTCAAGTACCTCTGCCACCATTTTGCCTCTTCTTCTCAAGTCCAGCTGCTTCATTTAACATATCGGCAGAATCGCTGTTCATGTTGAGCTTGGCCAAGGCTACTGCCTGCATGTAGAATGCTGTAGGCCATTCTGGATAGATGCACTGTGCTTGCATCGCATCCCGAAGAGCGGCGTCCGGTTGATCGCACAACAGATAGCAGAGGCTTCGCCGCGCGTATACAGTGGGCGAGACCATCGTTCCAACATCTATGAACTGAATCAACAAGACGAGAAAATTACCTCTAAGTTGTCTTATTTGCGCATTTTGAAATGGAAGAATCTACCAAATTCAACATGTTATGTTCAATCTATCCACCAACAGAGGATCCAAGTGATAGCTGACAAACCTGAGAGTAACAATCAATGGCAGTCTTAAAATCCTTATCACGGAATGCAAAGTCCCCTCGTTTTCTAGCGTCGAGCATGTCCCTCATTTGTTGTGTCCATTCCTGGAAAGACAGCTGATTCCAAAAGAAGGGGAAGGGTAATACTGATGAATTCAGTTGAATAATTCTTCAATCATAAAATGCAAAATGATAACTTTCATCAAATAGTAGAGATTACCTCATTAGTTCCTTCATCGTCTCTGTAGTGTGTCATCACTAAGATTTGATGGATGGCGGTGAGGTCCATCCTCGAGCAGGCTTCGCCCATAGGAGAGAGGGGGTGTGGCGGAGTAACAGGGGCCTCTTCATGTTTCGAAATTCCGAGCATCACATGAGATGGTACCTGTAATTTTACATTCTTAATTGACTAACATAATAATCTCAATGTCTGATAATCTAAAAAAATATTTCAACTTTTCAAATGTTTCATAGAAAATTGAATGGTGATGTAACCAAGACAAAAAAGACATAATTGTGAGTAGATGAGAATGGGGAACAATTAAATAAGATAAATTATTTGGCTAATTAGGCGTCATTGAAGTAAATGAAGCCAACTATACTGCATATTTGAGAATATTTAGTAAAATCAAATTAGGAATATAAATTGAGATTACAGAGAACATAAAGCATAACAGAGATATACTTACACTAGTTTTAGTTTGTAAGGGGGAAAGTGTAGCAACTAGATCTTTGGTATTCGGGCGATCTCGAGGTTCATACTGCAAACAACGAGAAGCAAGGTCCATCAAAGCAGTAGCTTCTTCTGTGGAAAATTTCCCCTCCAAATGTGAATCCATCAAAAGTAGGATGTTCTTACCTCTTATCATATCAAGAGCCTACAGTTTAAAAATTACATCTACTTAGAAAACGATGTATCCCGCACTGAAGAAAATTATAATTTCTTTTTTACTCAGAAAACAATTTCTCACAACTTACAGATAACTTTCTGCTACAAATAAATTGGTATGAAGAAAAAAGGGAAAAATCACAGATGAAAATCAGCAATTCCTTTGGAGTTAAACACTACATATCTCAAACATGAATATTAGTTAAACTATTTTATTTTTTCCATTTTGCAAAACCACCATACAATGAGAACCCAGATTCTACAAATTTAGTTTAGCTTGCTCGTGTAACTCACTATCACGAGGCCAAACACCTATGTTGTGAATGGAGCATGCGACACACACATTTCATTAGGTGTGAATTGAATGGGAGTGTAGCAAGTTAATTGATCATATTGCAGGTAATTGGAATTCTCCTAAGTTGTTTAATTATGGGAGATATTATCTCCTTAAAGAAACATAAGTCTCGTATTTCGCCAACTTCTTATTTATTCCTTTTTTTATCATTTCCTCTCCTCTAAATGTTTTTAGTTCCTAGTTGAAAAGGCAAATGGAATTCATCATATTTGCAACCA